TGCATCAGGTGTTTATAAAGAAAATTATAATTTCAAAGAATGCAGTCAAAGAGAGTCAAGAGTAGAAGAGATAAAAAATACAGAGTAATTTTGATGGAAATTTTAAAAAAAGGAGTGAAAGACTAAACAAGGAGCTTCCAGTAAAGTAAATGGCATTGAAAAATAACATGATGAAATAATTGAAGATGAAATTGAAGTGAGGAAATGCTGGAATAAGTATTGTAGACATTTACATGATAATTATAATAAAATATCAAATGATGAAATAAATGTTATATATGCTAGTGTCCTAGAAAAAATAGTGGGGGGGGGGTCTAAATGCTTTGAAAAAATAGTTAAGGTTGCTGCTGCAGTTGAGGCACTTGGAGAAATATAAAAATAAAGATCTAATTTTGTAATAGAATGGCTATGCAAGTTCTTTTATATTCACAAGAACAGCACAATAATCCCTGATGATTAGAAGTGTTTGGGTATATATAGAAAAGGTTAATATATAATCAACAGTGTGATTAATTTTATTGATCTGAAATGGGCATTATACTAATTGGATAAATGAATGCATTTGTTAACTGTGCCCAGGAAGACATTTGGCAGAATCTGATCAAAGGAGAGTAAAAAAAAAAAGGACAGTGAGCCAAATATGGTATATTATGTCATCAGGAGATGCAATGATGATATTTTTCCTCTTCAAAAGTGAAATGTATGAATGTGAGAAACTAAATTAACTTTAAGTCAGTTCCTCTGTTAGGCAGGTCCATCCAGTCTTTATCTTTTGATTCCATTTACTATGCTACACATCTTTATTAACACTAATTAATACAGAAGAGAGCATTCTACATCTTGTGTAATATCTTCTCACTGAGTTCCTAGTATAGGATTTCTATCTTTTGAAAACATGCAAGGCCACTTGGAATGTATACAAGTCATCTCATATTCTTAACCAGCTCTTCTTGTATCCTGGGGTTTAGATCATTCTGACCACAAGGCTTTCTTTTTATTTAAAATACTATATTTCGCCAGATTTTTATAATAGAGAATAATTTAAGCTTTAATATCATAGGCATGACATAAATACATAAAAAACGTAGGCAAAATTTTGTCCCTTGAGAGAAAAAGGAAGAATGAATATTCAATTGGCCTATTTGTAGCAAGAAACAGAACAGCCTTTATTAATACATTTTTACTGGAATACGTACAGATGGTAAAAAGGCACACTTTTTAAAAAATTAAAAGTAGTAGAAGCCAGTATATTTCCTCACATACTGTCAAACAGATATGTATGTTCTTATTGTGGATGAGATTACTATTTTTCTTACAATGTTCATTTGTTTGACAAGTTCCAAAAACCTGGATTGCAAAAGATTATTTTCCTTGGTCAAAACTGCATAATCATCCGCTATTTTACTTCGTAAGAGACGGTCCTGTTCTGCCAGTAGCTCTCGTTCACGAATTTGATGGTGCAGAAAAGATATCTCATTCCTACAGTAATCAAAAAATACAATTTCCAGAGTTTGCTATCATCCTGATGCCATAGGCCACAATTCTGCATCATTCCTAATTTTGATTATGAGAATTGTTGTCTACTGTTGAAGAAGACATGACACCTGTAGTTAGGTGAGGAAATTTTTTTTAACTTTTTAGTCAATTAATCCTGAAGCAACCTCACAATAATTAAAATGCAAAACAAAATTATTTAAAAAGGCACATCAGAATCAAAAATAAAATAAAACAAAGTAACAGAGCTTCATGGAAAATTAATAATTATAACATAATATAATCAGATTCAGAACTCCCCTGAAACACAGTGCCTTTGCAGTCACATAAATATCACCACAAAAAATGTAAAGTGTGATCGTCTCAGAAGAGAATTCTGTAATTATAGGATTCTACTTGAAAAGGTTTCATTTCAAACATTTACCAAAGTTTCCTAGTCAAGCCTCCAGACAAAACTTCAATATGCTAAATCCATTGGGCAGAACCATTAATGAATATTTTTTCTTCACTTCTAGCACTAATACTATCATAAATTAATCATTTAAGTAGGGGGTTTGCAGCATTTATAAATACTTGCAAGGTTGAATATGGTATTAGTTTACCCAGCCTTCATTTTTTCCAAAATTCAATAATTAGTACCGTAATTCATGAGTAATTTGCTCATGCATTGCGGCTGTTTTCTTAAGGATTTTTTCTTCCATTTCATGAATAGCAGACTGCATTTCCAAGAATTCCTTTTTCTTTTCAGAAAGCTGCAACTCCATTGCCTTTTGACGGTCCAACTGTTGCGTCACCTTGATTTAAATATAACATGTGATAGTAGGCAAATATTCTATAGAACTGTAATTCAAAAATAGTGGAGGGTCATTTCATCACAGAACAAGATTAATGAATAATTAGTCATATATCTAAAGTTAGGACTTTGAAATTGTTGCTTTTTTGTTTCTCAAATGTTTATAAACAACTTTTCTGAAGTAGGATGGATGGATGGATGGATGGATGGATGGATGGATGGATGGAAGGAAGGAAGGAAGGAAGGAAGGAAGGAACTTATTAGCAGGAATATCTGGATAGATTTCATCATAACGTTATCTGTTTTTCCAGGATAACAACTCTGAGATATCCCAAAATGAGAGAGGAAAATACAGGAGCATGTACTTATTTGTTTATATAAAACCTGATGAGATGTTTGATATTACATGCCCAGTTCAGCTTAGAAAATAAGGTAATATGTTGCTACCATAGATCCTAGGAGCTCTTGCATCTCTTGCATGCTATATAGTGTATGCTATCTGATTTATCAAGGCATTAAAATATTTTGTTTTCTGATAACTCTTTAATGATGATTTGGAGAAAGGATTGGGAGTGTCCAAGAGGCCATTACTGTCTCACAAGAGGCAGAATATATATTGCTTCTCTTGTCACATTTCTCAAAACATTTGTTCCATGACTTGCAGTAATGCAGAAGGAAATGGAAGAATAGATTTGTTTATATGGAGGGGGGAGGTGTGGCAACAATAGAATATGATGGACCAAAACTGATGTCAGAATTTGCTTTCAATGGCTTTGTGAGGAAAGTTTTTTCTTCTAATTGTCTAAGACATAAGGCTGTAAAGGAAACTTGTGTGTTTAGAGGAATGTTTCTTCCCGAGTCAAAAGGTGCCTCTGAACATTGATGACATGAAATAGAAGGAATTCTACCCAAGGAATGCTTTTTTTGCTTTTGTTATACACCATCCTGGCATTCAAAGACAATAGCAAAACTCCAGGATCTGACTGTCTGGACACATAGGAAGCCAAGAACTGGACAACAGAACAACAAACAGCAAACCCAGTGTCTGAGAGTATGATCCACCCTCAGATCCTTACCATATATCACTCTGCCCACTGCTGGTGAAATAGTCCAGCTTGCTTCCTCAGCATCCCAGCCTACTCCCATTCCTCACTACATTACTCTTTTAGCAATAAACATGTTTCCAGAAATCCAACTGGTTCCTGTTTCCCAAATTTGCCAGCCTTAGAGGGGCTTGACAGATGTACAGAAACAATGATGGCCATTATGAAAGCATAGACTTATTAGGCAGATGAAATATAAATTAAACTTTCCCAGCTCTATAATTCTGTGTATAACTGTTTTGTTTAAAAACTGTTTAAATCAAACATATTAGGACATAATAAACTATAAATAAAATAACCAATACCTTTGTTTTTAGCATAAGGATAGTTTGTTCTTTGTTTTTCAGATTCATTTGTTGTTCTTCCAGTTCTTGCTTAGCATATGTGATCTCAATTTGTTTTCCAGAGATTTGCTCATCTTTCTCTGCTTTCTTTTTCTTCCATTGTCTGATTTCCTCTATCAAACCCTGTTTCTCTTTTAAATGCTGCTCTGAAAGTAGAATGTATGAAATTCTAGCCAGCATAAGATAACTAATGCTCTTCATACTTTTAATAAAAGCTCGCTCCAGTTGTGATCAGATCAACACAGTTGTAGATTAAACTTAGCTTCAGCTTTAAAATTCAGCTGCCACATTTTTTTTAAGAGAGTTGGAGGAGTTGAAAAGTTCGTTATTCTGTATGTTGTATTAAGAAATTCCAGTGGCAGTTAATTGGTTCTCGTGATTTATTAAATGTAGAAGTGGGAGGAGAGAAGGTGGATTCTGGGTAACACAGCGAAAATAATTTCACTTGGGAAATTGCCTTTGACATTGCAGATCTGTTTCTAAATAAATCAATTGGAGAGAAATGTCTCGGAGTGATTGATATCATGGATACTTTCTGGATGCCTTACACTTAGATTGAATTAGCTCAAAACTTCAAAAATTTTAGCACAAAATTAGAGTCAGAAGCCATGGAAAAATGAGCAAAAGGACATTTTGTCATGAATAAATAAATTATTCTGTGCATTATCTATCTTATCTATTCATAGTGAAATAAACAACTCAGCTGGATGTTTTGTCTGATTGATTTCATAGGGATAATTATGGTAGACTGCTGCAGGAAAGAAAAGATCCTATAGCATCTGAAAAATGCCTGTGGTGGTTTTAACCAATGATTCATACATGCTGGTTTGTGGATAATCGGTAAACCATGGAAAAACCCCACAAGGTTGTTTAATGCAACCTTGCTGTATTAACAGACTAGAACCTATTGGTGACTCAACAATATCAATAAAATAGAAGGTTTTGTTCTCTGTAGTATGAATGCCCTATCTGTGATTTAGTTCCATCTCTTTTTAGGTTTCTTTAGGTAGGCAAGGGCTGGTGGCCAATGAGCTAGTGAATGAGAGCTGCTATTCCTCTGCTGTCTTATATAGTATCTATATATCATACCAAGTTACAATTTGTTTTTTATTAGTTGTAGCTTGATGTGATATCTAAGTTCTGATAATTGTGGATTAGTTATTATATCACGGTTAAATAAGTATTTCAGATTTACAGTAACAGCAGCTGATTTACAACACAAGACTGTACTGTACAATGCCACTACTTAGAACACCATTTTTCAGTAGTGTTAGTGTTACTTCAGTAGTAACACCTGACTTGCTTCTAGATTCATTCTGTCTAAGCACCCTCTAGTCTAGTGGAAAGCATTAATAAAGCTCCATCATTTCTCAAATAAGACTGTTTTATTTAGAGATCAAGGGAACAGATTTTACTTCATCTCCTTTTGAACTGCCTTTTGAAGACTAATTTATAATCAATTATTCAACACATTCATATTTTCTTTTAGAATTTGGTCTACCTAATTGAAAGCAAGAAAGAAAACATACTATTTCCTGAAGATATCATTTGAAGCAATAATATACAAATTTACCACAGGATGGCGCTATTTTGAAAAACAAAAAACAGTCACCTGAAGCTTAAACTTAAGTAATATCTGGCTTTTTAAAATGGTTATTGTCAGCAGTCAACAGTTTCAATAAGCTATATAATACTAGAATGATGTATCTTACATTATGAATTCAGAGTGAAATTAAAAATCTGTCCTTGTCTCTCTTTCCTTCTATATTTGCTGTTTGGCTTTATTGACTGCTTAAGTACATCTTTCCATTTGCTAAATAGCATAAGCATATTGAAAATGTCATGTTAAAAATACTACCGGTATTTCTTTAAAATAATCTTTAGTATGTTTTTACTAAGGCTATGCCTTGGTGATAAATTCATGAAGCTGCACACCTTACAGAGAAAAGAGTGATTATAGTACTATTATTTAGAAAAAAAATTTTTTCAAGCACAGTAATTATTAAAATTTATTAGAGATTCAAGTATCTTGGATGGTTTTAGTAAAGTTTCTTATTCTTTATTATTGAAAAAGAACAATAATAAAGAATAAGAAACTTTACTAAAACCATCCAAGATACTTGAATCTCTAATAAATTTTAATAATTACTGTGCTAATTACCATAGTTGGACATATGCAACACTTTTCCCCCTGTCTACAGTGGTGGTGTTTAGTGATTTCAGTAGAGGAGTTTGGAATTTTTTTTTGCAGTTTAATGAAAATGATTTGCAATAAAATTTTCTGAGTTTTTTTCACCCCAGATATTAGAAGTCAACAAAAAATCCAAATGTTTATTAAATTAAAAAAAATAGTACTGTGGGAAAATCTACATAATTTTGATAATGCTGAAAAAATTATTACCATTAGCCATACTGATTTGGTTATTAAGTTGATTTCTTTCCATCATCAGCATGTTTAAACCATCTTTCTTTCGCCTCAGCTCCAGATCAAGGCTATCAGCCTTACACTGTAATGTCTATAAAACAATAAAAAGTGAGTTATAGTTATAAAATTATAGTTACAGTGAAATAACAGTTCAGAATCTTAAGGAGTTCATTTTAAATTATGTGTTCTGATACACTGGATTTCAGACCTACCGTAATGTAGAAAAATATTTTCATACAGGTAATCTATGACTTTTGACTGTAATTGGGCCTAGCAATTCCAGTTGTAATATGTGACAGTGGTAAAGTGGATTGTCAAATAACTAGACTCAACCTTTACAACCTTTTTTGTGGTGGTTGTTAACTACATGCAGCAGTCATTAAGTAGATTCATTGTTCACTATGGTCGTTTTTTCCAACAACCAAATGTAAATGTATATCATAATGGTCATATGATCACAAGGCACTGCAAACGATTCTAAATGTGGGCCAATTGCCAAGCATCCAAAATGTGGTCACATCATAACCTTGGAACCAGGTTGTTTTGGGAGTTCCATTGTAACTTTGAATAATCACTAAGTGACTGGTCGTAAGTTGACCACTACCTATACATATATTTCAAATGTATTTGTGGGTAGTTAGCCTCCTGTTTTTCCTGTGTTTTCATTCATTGGTAGCAAGTCCTCAATTCACAAATACGTTTTGAAACTGCTGGAAGAAGCTACTTTCACTTTCCTTAATAATAACCCACTAAGTATAAGTAAATATGCAAAAAATTACTTTGCCATTATTTGTCAAAGAGAGATAAAAGTTACCTGTAGGTTTTGTAGCATATGTTCCATTTCACATGCAAGGAAAGGCTGAGTATGAATTGCTTTTTTAGTCTGCTCACGAGTAATAACAAAAGGTTAAGGCAAAAGGGTGAAATATTAACTAAATAACTTTGATTAAAAATAAAATAAATAGCTGAGCAATTCTCATTCAGTTCCCACATTAATACAATATTTGACCCCAATATTACAAATAATCTTTTTAATACCCCTATGATTCTTCAATTCATATGTTTTAGTTAACCATACACAGAAATGCATAGGATATAGAAATTTAGCTTCCAATTCAAGGAAATAAATTTGCTGCTGAAGATTCTTGATGTATTCAGATTCTATGCATAGTAATGTATTTTCCATTTCTAAAAGCAAAAAAAAAAAAACCAATTAAAATGAAGCTTATAAAGTTATATTTTTATGATTTTTTAAAAGAAACTTTTATCTTATATACCATAGTACTTATCTCTTATCATGACAGGATGGAAATTCAAAAATAACATTAGAAAGTATTGCTTCTTAGAGAAAGAGTAGTGGAAGCTTGGAACCAATTTTCAGTGAGTCAATGATTAGTAACTGAGTTTAAATATGCTTGGGATAAACACATGTCCATCATCTGATGAAAATAATAATAATAATAATAATAATAATAATAATAATAATAATAATAATATTAAAAAAAAAAGAGCTGGACAGCCTGGATAGGAAAATGAGAAAACTGATGACCATACACTATGCACTGCACCTGCGTAGTGACGTGGACAGGCTATATCTGCCCAGAAAAGCAGGTGGCAGAGGACTTTTGCAAGTGAAGCAGACAGCCGAAGAAGAAAAGCATGCTCTGCTTTTCAGATTATGTGAAAGACAGTATTGAATCAGCTTTGATGGAGGTCAACAATAGGAAGCTGCTCAAAGTGTAGCAAATCAAGAATAAATACAGGAAAACAATGATGCAAACTCGGGCTGACAGCTGGTGTAACAAAGCACTGCATGGACAGTTCCTTGAAAAGATCCAAGGAAAAGTAGATAAGGAAAAGACCTGGTGATGGTTGACCAACGGAACACTGAAGAAAGAGACAGAAAGCCTGATTCTTACAGCCTAAGAACAAGCCATCAGAACAAATGCAATCAAAGCCAGAATAGAAAAA